CTGTGAATGTTTGACTCTCGATATCCTCACCTTGATGTGTTGAACAGTTTCATCACACTCTGCTTTCATTTCTTCTGCATGTTTGAGCTTGTTGTGTAAAGATGTCAGTGCTGTATTCAGTTCCTCCTACAAGTTAAGATGAAAATCTGTGAAACTTTAAGTAGCTAATACATGTAAACTATTTTTGGATGTTTTTTCATATGATTTGCTAAATGTATTTATATTTTGTAAAAGTCATCCTCAGGAATCAGTCCCAGTTGTGCATGAAAATGTCAGTACAGATTTTTTTTTTGTTCAGTTTGTAAAGGATGAACAGTCAGCATTATTGTGTGAAAACAATATTTGATCAGTAAAAATGATCCAATTTTGGCAATGCTTAGTAAGCTTCTATTTGATCCATGGCTTAATGGATGTCAGAAGGTTAAAATCTTTGCTTTCAAGAAGGAAATGAATAGGAATAAACAGAAGGCAAAGGACTAAGATTCACAAATTCTGCAGTTTTTCAGAAATTCTGTAAAATATTTCAGAAATGTGTCTGACCTTGTGAGATGGAAGCACTTCACTGATGGGTCTGAATGTGTGATTGACGTGTTTCTCAGAGTCTCTGCACACTAAACACACCGGCTGTTTGTCCTCCAGACAGAAGAGTTTGAGTTTCTCACTGTGTAAACTGCAGATCTCCTCAGATCCTGATGAGCGCCTCTCGTTTCTCTCCTTTATCAGTGAATCACACAAGTTTTTTAACACTAGATTACGTGGAGGCTGTTGTTTTGAGGATCTTCTTCTGCAGACAGGACACTCCTGAGTTTTCTTGGTTCTCCAGAACTGTTGAAGACACTCTTTACAGAAACTGTGACTGCAGGACAGAATAACAGGATCCTTGAAGATTTCACAGCACACGGGACAAGAAAGCTCTTCCACAGATTTTGAATCCATTTCCTCTTCTTCTGCAACGATCTACAATTTACTTTAACTTTCTGAACTTCACTTTGAAAAGTAAATAACAATTATAACTACAATCAAAATCTATTTCGTGCAACAAACTTCTCAAAAAAATCCTCACTTATAGTGTCCTCCTTTGATGCACAGCACTCTTTTTAGCTTTAAGTAAAGGAGAAATAATAAGACTAACGTTAGTCATTTCCTGGGTAAAGGTTGTGAGAGGGTGGCGTTTCTGATTAGACTTTGGACCATTTAAACACAGACTGAATGTATAATTTTATATTAACTTTATTTGTGCTTTCATCTCCTGGACTCAGTGAACTGGAAAAATGATATATATATATATATATATATATATATATATATATACAGTATATCAAAGAGTGTATGTGTATATATATATATATACTGTATATGCACACACACATACACACATATATTTATATATACTGTATATATATATATA